TAAATCTAAATTTTAATGGTGTTTTATGGAATTTGGGAATCGCATAAAGATTAGTAAATCTGTTGTAGTTTGCATTGAAAGTAATATTGAGTTTCTTATGAAAAGTTTTAATCCTGTTTATTATAGATGTTTCTGTAAGGTTGGCTGATTGATAAGTAGTTGCGTTGAGAAGTTCTTTATGAATAATCTCAGTGTAGAATTGTTTTCATATAATGCTAAAGTTATTAGTTGCTTTATCTATTTTTGTAATAGTAAAAAGCTGTTTTAATTTACTAATATCAGATGTAAGTTGCGACCAGTTCAGTGTACTTTTAAATTTGAGGTGACTGATTTCTGTGGATATGCGTTGAAGAATTTTAGCTTTCCATTTTAAGAAGGTATCTATGGGAAAATTCAGTTGATAGCTTGCTTTAACTATAAATTCGTTGATGTTGTTTTCGAAAGTCTTGTAACAGTAATTTGTAGTCATGTTTCTGACTGGTCTAAATTTTGTACCATAACTCATTAGTGTTTTTAGTTGATGGTTTTGTATGATATTCAGGTTGCCAGTAATTATGTGCTGGTGATGAGAATCTACGTAATTGCTGTAAATTGGTGTCTTACAATGTCATTCTGCAGTTTCATCTATTTCATGGTGGTTAGTAAGCAAGTTGCTTAAGGTCCTTTGATATTTAAATGCAATCATTGGTATAGTGTCAACTGCGGGGAAGTAATCTTTACAATCTCTGATGATTCTTGAGAAATGAATATTGTCAAACTGCGGATGCAGAAAATTGACTTTAAAATAAATTTTGCGTTGAGTGAGACTATTAGAGAGTCTGAAAAGACTAAAATCAAGAATCATGTCTTTAATGATTTGTATGTCGTCGTAGCTTTCTTGAATGAATTTTTTTAGTTTGATAAGGAATTTATTAGTACAGGAGTGTAACCAGTTGAGAAGTTTCTTGGGAAAACAGTCTGAGTCAAAAAAACATTTCAATTGTTTTTTCAATGCAAGTGTATCCAAAGTGGATAAAAATCTCGCATTATTTTTTATTTTGCTTCCTCTTTTTCCTCTCTGCGTTTGATGCTGTAGAGTTTAAATTGGCTGAAAATAGACTTCTTAGAAGTATCTCTATGACTATGTATATAAGTGTTAAGTCCATATGGATAAAGTGAACGTTGTTTTAGTATATAGAGAGATTCCTGAAAAATTCGTGTTTTGTGATTGGGTATTATATCTAGTATCTGAAGTTGAATAGAGTTGAAGTCATGGTGTTTAAAGTGTTCTAATTCTGCTGTATTAAGTTGTGATGGTGTACTTATTTTAATGTTATTTTTTTGTGCGTTGAATTTTTTGATTTGAGCTCTATGGTTATTGATTCGAAAGTTAAGATTGTTTTTAGTCTGTCCTATATATTTAATATGTCAAGTACCGCATGTAATCATGTAAATACAGTTAAATGTTTTTCATAGAAATTGTTTTTTGGGTTTACCTGTAGCAGGCATGGCGTTAAATTTTCAAGTTTGTCATCTAGTGGAATGACATTTAGTGATTTCAATATGAGTTAAACTAGCAAGATATAAAAGTAAGGAGGCTGCTAACCTTCAATACAGTAATGTTTTTGTATAAGAACTTTAAAACTTAAAAAGGTTGGAGATAATATATAAAGTGGGTACATTAGGTAAGAGATAAATAGCGCTAATAGCTGCTATTTAGCATATCAAATGTTGTATGAACTTAAATCCATTTAGTGTGAATACAAGTTATTATTACTTGCGCAATTGCTGCAAAGTTAGTTAATAATAATTTATTTCCTAAACCGTATTGATTAATTGATTATATTATCTCCTAAGTTTAATTAAAGTAGAATTATTTTATGTAAAAATTAAACCATCACAAGGAAAACCAAAAAAAGATTATAAAACTAAAAGAAAGAGGAATCCAATCACCTTTGATATAAAGTCGTCAAAAGGAGCTTCAATTACAATTCCACTTCCAAAACAAAATCCTTGCTTTTCTGTACCCAGAGTTAGCTGATGAACCATTTTAATATATTTTTTAATCTTAATAGTTCACCCGGAGGAGAATTAAACTGAGAATTTTGCAAAGTAGAGTTATTGATTTGCAGTTATTAAATTTTCAAATTAAAATTAGAATTTTGATGTACACATTTTTTTCATTTTACAATAAATATATATATTGGGCATCTGGAAAGTTCTACAGGTTTTTGATGACAAATACAAATGAAGCAGTACAAAAGCATACGAAAATTTCATTGAATCACATAAACACCATTTTGTTCTGTGACATTTTACCATCTCTTTCGCAGCTAGATAATACCTTTTTACTTCCTTGAACGAAGTAAAAAGGAAGTATTGTAATCGCGAAAAGTTTCAGGCAGCATATTTCAACGAAAATATCCATTTTGACCGCTATCGAATGCAATTTAACGATGTTTTTGCGTGACATCTGTACGTAAGGACAGAATAAAATACTCTTTTCCTTCAAAAAAAATTATAAAACTGCTTTAAAATTAATTCTGAAGAGAATTTTTCGTGGCATCTGTACGAACGTGCGTACGTATCTCGCATAACTCAAAAACGAGTAACCTCAGAACGTTGAAATTTTGTATATAGGACTGCTATAACATGTAGATGTGCACCTCATATTTTGGTTGCAATCGGCCGCACCAAACATATGATTGAATTTTGTTGTTTTTATCTTCCGGTTAAAGATTTTATGCCTTTAGTAAATCTGTGTGCAATATTTTTAGAATTATCAGCAATTTTAAAGTTGTTTAATTGCTGCTAAGACTGTTTTTAATGGCGGCCACTGATGTTTACATTTGAAATAGGAGACTAGTGGATTTGTTTCCAATCTAGAGAAACTTAGCCTCGCAACAACAAAGATAACGCATTCATTTATTATTGCCAATTAAATCATGCTTAATTCTTTCTGGAATTTTTTTGAGGAATTCGTTTGAGATTTACTTCGTAATTTTTAATATAGATATTTTGAGTTTTTATGTATTTTTTCTTCTCGCGAAGTGAGAACTGAATTAATTAAATGAGAAATACTCAATCGTCTGTGAAAAACTGTTTCTTTTTTGTTTTGTTTGCTTAATTTCTTTTATACATAGTTCTAGCTTTATTATAGTATTTGAATAGAACATGTGGCAACTATTAGGTAATTCTTTAAATGATATACATTTTGTGCATTCTGAGTTATAATATGAATGAAATATAATACTGTTAAGTAAACCTAGTGCCAGAGTGTCGCTATGGTAAACAAAGTGAATTTTAAAGAATGCATTTATTCTATTGTGGTTTATGCGCTGTCAGCGAAGTAGATTTAATTCAATCTAACAAGTTCAAATGAAATGCAAGAAAAAATGCGTATAATTTAATATTCCGTACAAGGAAGTCATGTGGTGTACACGTCAGATTTTTTAAAAAAGTCGTTAAGTTTATTCCTAAAAACGTTATCGAGGTGCTCTTTAACAGGTTCCAAAGAAGTGAATTTCAGGCCATTAAGAGAATTCTTAAGTGACCTGAAGTGATGAAATCCCAGGAGGCAAAGTCTGGGGGATATAGGGAATCACACAAAACATCCCACACGTACTCAACAAGTCAATGTCTGAATATTCCTTAAATTGTGGAGCTGAGCTTTGCCATGATAGAAGAGAACAGTTTGGAAATTTGTTCACTTTTTAGTACTTTGCTTATATTTCTGCTTTTAAAACTGCCATTGCAGAATGGCATTTTCCCCAATTTATTGTCCGATTTGGTAGCAACAATTTACAATATACAATTCCTTTGTAGTCCCAACCACACATACATTTTTTGGGCATGCAGGCCTCTCGATATACCAAAAGAGGTTCATTTATTTTACCACCATTGGCATCATCTTCAAGGCTCAAATTTTCACTCATTAATTTCTCAAACCATCTTCGAACTGTGCTATAAAATATTACTTTGTGCCAATATAAAGCACAAATTTTAAGTCTGACCAGCATTTTTTGCCTTTTTTAAAATAAAAGAATGTAATATGACAAAAATGAATTTCTGGCTTCTTTATTCTTAGCACTGCACATAAAATCAAAAAAAAAAAAAAAAAAAAAAAAAAAAAAAAAAAAAAAACTGTGCCACAGTACACGCTAGAATTATGCAACGTAGGTAGAAAAGACCATATTTAAATATCTGCCTTGACCAAGGTAACTCTTTATCAGCAAAATAATTAGAAGGAAATGCATTGCAATTTGGAAAAAAATCACAGAAATTTTCACCTGATCCAATACATAGTACATAAGATTAATGCTTGTGAAATTAGTGATTTACCAAATTTATTTTGTATAATAATGAATGTATAAATTATGAATGGACCACCACCCATGCTTTTTCATTGTTAATTATGAAAACATTTAAATAGTTATGGCCTATAGATATGTCTTGGTCAACTATATACAATATAATTAATATTTTCCCATAAATTCCATGTAGAACTTAAAAAATTATCTTGCAGTTTTAACTTAGAAAATTTATCTAATGATTTAAATTTTATCCCAACATTAATATACTCCTGATATTAGTATCTGAACCTACTTCATCTGAATTGTTTCCATACAGTTTGCTTTAAAAACCTGATTTGATTTAGAATTTTATACATTTAATTGCTTAAAATGAGAAAAACGTTTTTTCACAAAAATAATTTTAATATAGTTTTTAATAAAATCTTAATTTATAAGTATTTTAATAACTTAATATGGCAGTATTTTCATTAAAATGCTTTCATACTATACTGAGTTCCAACTCAAAATCTAACAATTATCCAATATTAATTTAAGGCTAGAAGCCTGCTTTATTTTAAATTTACATGCTTCTTTTCTATAATTTCAATTAGATTTTACCAAAGGAGCAAAGCTTTTTAAAATTGAAAGCTTGTAGCATGAGCATAATTAAAAAATGAAACTTAATATATAACATAAAAGTATTTTTAAAATAATAAAATGACTAGTTACTTTTCACAAGTCTCTTGTTTTCTTGTTTCAGATAAATATGTGATTTGGTTTTCTATTACTTCTTTCATTAACTAGAAATAAAATATATAAATATTTAATATATATATATATACACACACATTCACAAACAATTTTTTTTCAAACTGTAATATAATATAAGTTACAGTATTACTACTCACCTCAGTATATGACTTTTTTGTGATATGAACATTTTTTGCTCTATACGACTGCCTTCGACGTTTATAGTCTCTTAATTCTGCCAATATTTCAAGTTGAGTTTTAGGTCTTCCTTCTAAAAATTATTAAAAACTAATTAATTAAAATAAAATTATAATAATTATAATCCTGGAATTTCCTCAAAATTGTTCAAATACCTTACTTTAATATCATGTAGGATTAAATACATTGAGTTTTATTACTTAAAATTTCCCATCTGCATAATTTAAAATTTCCTACATCTATACTCCACAAAAATAATCCATTAAAAATATTTAAAATTATAGGAAAAAAGACACAGTATTCATTTATACACATTGAAATTCTGCATTGAATACTTTTTCAAAACTTATAAAGTGCTTGAACAAAAAAATAAAAATATAAGTATGAATCTTAATTTGTAAAATACTAATAAAAAAAATAGAAAAAAGTTTTACAAAAGAGAACACAAATCGCAACTTTTGCTTGCTATTACATTAATAATATTAATAATAAATTTAGCTTTCAAAATAATATGCTCTGAGATACCTTGCAGTAGATAATCTATTTTTTATTATTTTGAAATTATGAATATTATGATTGCAAAATCATATAAATTTAATAATTAAGTCACTTACAATGCAATGTACAGTTACAGAATATATAGTTGTTCAAAAATTTAATTAGCATTTAAAAATTTAAATAATGTAGTAATTAACATAAAACAGTCACATGCATTTCTGTTTGGGTTCCAGAATCAGAAATTTATCATACCCTGTTCATCTTTTTTTCCAAAGTCAAACAATAAATCTTCCACAGTCACATTCTTTGGCTTATTAGCAGCCTTTCCTTCTTTCACGACATAATCATAAATTGCAAGCCTTTGTTCTGGGGTTAGCTCTACAACTGAACGATCAACAGTCCTTGGTACATTTGGAATCTCATCATGGTACTCTACAGGAAAAAAAAATTTTTTTTTCCTCTTTAACAAACATTCTCTATTCGTAAAAAGCAAGTTTAAAGTGAATTAAATTTTAAATGAAATTGAATTACAAATAAATTATTAATTATTGCTGTGAAATAATCTACTATATCATTTCTTTCTCTTATATTTTTCTAAATGCATATTTACTTAAAAACATGTTGAAAGTACACTTCAGTAAATTTTTGAGTAACAGAAATCTAAAATATTATATAAGTATGCACTAAGGCACAAAAATAAATATAATAAAAAGTTACCTGACTAAGGGGGAACTGGTAGGAAAGATGAATATGTACAGAAAAAGAAATTATTAGAATTTCAGGAAAATCAGACAATTATTCATGATAAAAAGCTATAAAAGCTGAACAAGTCAATAATGCATTTTTTCACCTCTGACCTGGATTGCACTGTTACCTACTACAGCATTGACTTCTAAAATTAGCAGATAGTGTCTGGTGCAATTTCTTGCTAAAATCACCAACTGTAAGTTAATTCACTAACATCTGAGATTATCAAAAGTCATTTACTATCAACTTCTAAACATGAAGAGATCTGGTGAACTAGTTGCCAAGAAAGTGGTTAACAAACATTAGAAGAGAGAATCAGTAGAAGTGCACACCATATGTCATCAGGCATTCTCTTACAGATAATTAGACCCATGTTGGCATGAAAGGAATAGCAACACAAACAGGTCATAAATGTTCATCAACATACTTCTGTGCCGTAAGGATACCACAGATGACAACCACCAAATCTGGCTATCAAAGGAAATAGTCCTCCATACCATACCTCTGTTGTCAGTTTGCACAGAAAAAGCAGAATCCCAAGACAGCCAGACATATCTCCAGACACATCTGTGCTAAACATCAGTATTAGTTCAAACAGGGTTTCATCACTTAAAACTCTTTGCTGTTCCCCTAACTTAACTACTGCCTTCTTGACATTGAAATTTATAACTGCTCACCCATTCCTTTCAAAACTGTCTAATCATGGCATCACCCTGACCCAAATCTCAAGCAATTTTTTGATTTGCTCTTCCAACTTCCTTCAGATTGTGATATATGCTTATAATGAGCATGCATCTGTTGGGGATATACTGTAACAGTCAAGGTGGGTAACTATAATCAAAATCCCATTAAAGACTTACTTCTGAAATCAAGTTTCACTCACCAGTACACATTTAAGTTGACCCAGTTCTGATGAGGTATAGCTCCAGCTATTTAATCTCAATCTAAATTTTAATAATTTGCATATTAGGTAAAAAAAAAGTATCTGCATACGAAATTAGTAAGTTCCTCCCCTCCCAATATGTTTGATTTTTTTGTCTTGGAGTATATAAAATGTTTCAAAATACTAGAAAAGTACTAGCAAACAAACATATACAAAACAGCACACAAACAGACTCTCAATTAACTAAGTTTTTGTATTATGTGACACAAATCTGTAATATCCTGCTTTTCTTATAATTTTCAAAAACCTCACCATAAAAATATACTTAGTACACAGAATATGCCACTCAATTTCTCATGCAGATGTCTACATGTCATCTAAAAAGCAAATTTGAATACTGAATAGCAACAAGACACTATATACTCTGATATTTAACTGATATGCAACATTGCAACAAAGAACCAAATACCACTAGAAAACAAAAAGATTTAAAAGGATATTAAGAATAAAGGTTCCGAATAATAACAAATAATACAAAATAAACAGTTTTTACCTTTAAAATGCAACAAATAATTGTCAATAAAATATTAAAAATATATATATCTATATTTTCTGCTACAACACATATTAATTGTAGAATAGAATAATAAATTATTCTACAATTAAATAACTTTGCATTACAAAAGTAAGTGCAAATGAATATTTTTTTTTTGGGGGGGGGCAATATTAAGGTTACCGAGACAAGAATAGCATCTTAAAAGCAATAGCCTAGGCTATAATTTGGCAAATTTTCTTTCTATTTGTAATAATTTAAATTATTGCTGCTTTCTATTTTACCCATGTTTTCTGCTATGCAAGGCAGCTTTGACTAGTTAACTAATTATGGCAAAGAGCATAATGTCTGTCAGGTTTCCGATTATTGCCCAGGACTTCTAAAAAAAACTATACATATATTCATGTTACACATAAAGAAAACAACAAAAATTCCATACAGGCAGTCCATCTGCCAGAAACCGAACTCAGGATACACTACCAGGAATTAAACTGATAAAATGAACTTATGCAATTGGTCTTTAGCAGACATAGCAACAATGGTATTTTAGAAAATCAGACTTTGTTTCAGCCAAAAGGTAGCATTAAAGGGGGCATAGATTTTAAATAAAACTATTATTTTAGAAGGTGATCTATGGGCAAAACTAATTGGCATTTTAGGAAATCAGAACTTCATTTAAAATTTGACACCCCCCCCCGAAAAAAAAAAACTTAAATTGACAAAGATTTTGAATAAAACTATCAATTTGGAAGGTAATCTGATATAGGTTATCAGATTACCTTTTCTCTAGAAACACATATTTTTGTCAGATCACCATCAAAATCAGTAAGAGGTTTATTCAAAATCTACATCAATTCAAGGCTGTTTTTTTGCTAAATTTTAGATGTGTTTTTCTTGTAATTACATCAGAATTATACTGCATATATCTTGAATACTGTTAATTTTTATAGTTATTTTAGCAAGTTCTAAAATATTATTAGAATAATTTTTGTCGAAATACCAAATTAATCTTCAATATTTAATTTTCTTTTCTTTTACTTTCTACTTGATCATAATAATTCCAGTATTTAAATTATTATGTGAAAAATACACTATACAGTACCGTACCGTACTATTCCTGGAATGAAAAACTGTGAAATTCTTTGTTTGAAAAATTGTGGATTTCCCACACAAAATATGTAATTAAATTTCATTGCCAAATAGCAACAGTAAAGCTTATGATCCCATGACTTAAAATAAACTTTATGCAACTGTTATGAAATTTTCTAGTTGCTCTTTTAAGGTAAAGAGCTAAAAATTTCTTTTCAGCTACTCATGAGTTTCTTTCGAGCATGTCCAGTTTTTTATCTTGATCAGTTTAACTCTTGGGCTTTTTTTTTTTAAAAACAATTTGAAGTTGCCAAAGGAAAGGTAGTGAAATAGCAGACATTGCATTAAAGAAAAAAATCCTGTGGATGTGCAATGTATGGATACATTGCCTATTTAAATGAAAATACTAATCTCATGTACTAATAATGCAAATAACTACAAAATTTTGCTGATTTGTTAATGCCACTACCAATTTAAAAATAATATAAAATTCTTTAATTACTAAGTATTTTTATTATTGCTTTTTGTGAATGTTCATGTACTTTCTCCATCAAAAAATTTTTGTGACATTATTAATGTAAATTCCAAGCTACCATAATTTATGTGAAATTCCATAATTTACGTAGAACATTCATGTACATTCCTCACCACAAAATTTCCGTGAAATTATTAATGTAATTTTCAGGCTAAAACAATTATTAGAAATTCCATGATTTAACCCAACAACTTCCTCATTAATTTTGTTTCCAACCATCACCTTCCCAAATGATATAATTAGTATTTTTCAAATAGCATAGCTAGGTATATCACAGTGGTATGCATCAGTCATCTGCAAAGAATTAAATCTTTAAATTTGTTTATCTTAGTAAATTTCAGTTATAATATAGCATATCTTGTAATTCATACAATACAAGATTTTGTCTTGGAGTCAACTTTTTTTATTATTATTATTTAAATATTCTTGTTAATTTCTTAGTAAGTGACAATCTTACTTAACTTACTGGAGTATTAAAACTTCAAACAATTTAATTGATTATTATTTAAATTATACAAACTACATTCACTCCTTTTTAACTGAATTTAACTTAAATGTAGAAAAAATTACTATCACATAATTTTCAACAAAATATTAACTGACATCAATATTGCAATTCAAGAGACAAATGTACTAGTGTTGTTACAGTACCGTATTCTAAACTGGGCTTTTCCCTAGCAGGTACAAGAAAGAGTTTCAGATAAATACAACTCTGGATGGTTTGTATCTCTAAGAGAAAAGTCAATCACTACTATTGTAAGAACACTGTAAGACATGACAGTATTAACTGAACATTTTCTGTCTGAAACATAGAAAAGATTAACAAAGACTGCATTATGCAAACTAAAGAGTGCAACTAAGTACTGTGATCTGTATTTTAATACTACACATACAACCTTAATGATGGTACGTGCATGTGTGTGCGTGCGTGTGTGTGTATTATATACAGGGTGATTCTAAATTGTTTTTACAAATTAAGAGGGGTGATAGTGCTCATCCAAATGAGCAATAATTACCATAGAACATAGGGTCGTATTCCACTCTGAGAGGTGGAAAAGAGGAATATTAGAATTTCAACCTGAACTTACAACAGTATTGGGAGAACGAATGAACGAGTCAAAAAAATTGCACAATCAGTTTAGTGAAAAACTTACAGAGAGCGCACAAAATGGATAAAACCAAAAACTTGGCTTTTGAGTGTTAATTCAAGCTCAGATTTTGATGGCAAAAATTCAAATGTCCATCTTTGGTTGGCAAGGTCTCAACCTCGCAAACGATTGCAACAAGTTAATTATCTAATCAATGTCTGAATATTATCAACTAACTCCAACTTCCACTGTATGCCGAGATTAGCATGAAAAGTTCATGCTGTGTTCCGGCTGTCAGAAGTTCATGTCCCATAGAAGGGCACTTCAAGTAGAATGAGCAAAGCACAGTAAGTCCAGGAGGACAGGATAGAAGATAGCAAAGGGGTAAAAACTGCTACTTTGATACTTGATATCAAGGTAGCAGTATTTTCCCTCCTAATAGATAATTTCCCTCTAATAATTTAGATAATTAACTTGTTGCAATCGTTTGCGAGGTTGAGACCTTGACAACCAAAGATGGACATTTGAAAGTTTTGC